AGAGCTCAGCCTCAGCCTTGAGCTCCAACTCAGCCCAGTGAAGGGCTTTAAGTTTAAGAGCTCGGCCACGGCCTTGAGCTCAGCCCAGTGAAGGGCTTCAAGTTTAAGAGCTCGGCCAAAGCCTTGAGCTCAGCCCAACGAAGGGTTTCAAGTTTAAGAGCTCGACCACGACCTTGTGCTCCAACTCATCCCATTGAAGGGCTTCAAGTTTAAGAGCTCGGCCACAGCCTTGAGCTCAGCCCAACGAAGGGCTTCAAGTTTAAGAGATCGGTCACGGCCTTGAGCTCAGCCCAACGAAGGGCTTCAAGTTTAAGAGATCGGCCACGGCCTTGAGCTCAGCCCAACGAAGGGCTTTAAGTTTAAGAGCTCAGCCTCAGCCTTGAGCTCCAACTCAGCGTCGTGAAGGGCTTCAAGTTTAAAAGCTCGGCCACAACCTTGAGCTCAGCCCAACGAAGGGCTTCAAGTTTAAGAGCTCGGCCACGGCCTTGAGCTCAGCCCAACAAAGGGTTTGAAGTTTAAGAGCTCGGCCACGGCCCTGAGCTCAGCCCATCGAAGGGCTTCAAGTTTAAGAGCTCAGCCTCAGCCTTGAGTTCCAACTCAGCCCAGTGAAGGGCTTCAAGTTTAAGAGCTCGGCCACAGCCTTGAGCTCAGCCTAACGAAGGGTTTCAAGTTTAAGAGCTCGGCCACAGCCGTGAGCTCAGCCCAATGAAGGGCTTCAAGTTTAAGAGCTCGGCCAAAGCCTTGAGCTCAGCCTAACGAAGAGCTTTAAGTTTAAGAGCTCGGCCACAGCCTTGAGCTCAGCCCAACGAAGGGCTTCAAGTTTAAGAGCTCGTCCACGGCCTTGAGCTCAGTCCAACGAAGGGCTTCAAGTTTAAGAGCTCAGCCTCAGCCTTGAGCTCCAACTCAGCCCGGTGAAGGGATTCAAGTTTAAGAGCTCGGCCACGGCCTTGAGCTCAGCCCAACGAAGGGCTTCAATTTTAAGAGCTCAGCCTCAGCCTTGAGCTCCAACTCAGCCCAGTGAAGGGATTCAATTTTAAGAGCTCGACCAAAGCCTTGAGCTCAGCCCAACGAAGGGCTTTAAGTTTAAGAGCTCGGCCACAGCCTTGAGCTCAGCCCAACGAAGGGCTTCAAGTTTAAGAGCTCAGCCTCAGCCTTGAGCTCCAACTCAGCCCAGTGAAGGGCTTCAAGTTTAAGAGCTCGGCCACAGCCTTGAGCTCAGCCTAACGAAGGGTTTCAAGTTTAAGAGCTCGGCCACAGCCGTGAGCTCAGCCCAACGAAGGGCTTCAAGTTTAAGAGCTCAGCCTCAGCCTTGAACTCCAACTCAGCCCAGTGAAGGGCTTCAAGTTTAAGAGCTCAGCCCAACGAAGGGCTTCAAGTTTAAGAGCTCGGCCACGACCTTGAGCTCAGCCCAACGAAGGGCTTCAAGTTTAAGAGTTCGGCCAAAGCCTTGAGCTCAGCCCCAACGAAGGGCTTTAAGTTTAAAAGCTCGACCTCAGCCTTGAGCTTCAACTCAGCCTAAGCCATAGCTTCAGGCTCCGAGATGAAAATGAAGACAGAAAAGGAGAGATGTGATCTTAAGAAAAGGACCACACCCCAATTTAAGATAAAAGACAAATCGAGACGGTATGTGAAGCCGAGCTCAAAGTCAACAAAAAAAGGCAAACACCGCCTTAGCACTCAGAGACTTCAAGAGAAAAGAAGCCAATATAAAAAGCTAAACCCAGAAAAGGTAGTCACACCAGACCCAAGGCAGGATCATAGTACCTCGGTAGGGTCGACCTATCAATCAAACTTAGGCACCCCAGCAGTCCGAGCTTCTGAACTGCCGGGCTGGGGGGCAACTGTTATGGAATATTTTCATATCCTAACCACCTACCCAAGGATCCCTCAAAGGATAATTCTCCAATTATTCTAACAATATAAAACAGTAAGGCAGCTAAGGATAGAGTCTTTATCCCAACAGAAAGGAAGTTAAATCCTACTACAACTGGGAGATCTACACAAGCCCAAGAGGTAACCCTTATAAATAAGAGGTTAAAGACCCCAGGTATACAATCTGAACTCATTTACTACATCTGCCCACACTATGCACACATCCACGTCTCGGCTATAAGCCTATTGCTTGTGCGCAGTGATGGGAATATTGGCTATAAGCCAACCAAGATACCTATCCATAGGATATCTCTGAGCACATACCCTTGAGGTATCATTATACGGTTTAATAGAACCGAACAAAATGAAAAAGAAATTGCTCTTTTTTTTTTTAACAAAAAAGAGAAATAGGAGTAACAGTAGATTCACCTCTTTTTCAAACAGTGTCAGCTCAGGACACTTGACACAATATTTTCAATGAAAGTAAGCCTTGGCAGTCAATGACGCCATCAGACCCTACAGTAACGTCATAATTTGATCTACCCGTCCAAAATCCTACATTTTCCTACACGTTCACTGCATTATACTCAAAGTCATGTATTTGAGTTCTTTTATTAACCGGAATGAGTGGTTAATATCATCAATACACCCCCTATTATCAAGCAAACAATGAACTAATTAAATCCCAATCTCTTCCCCATACAATTGCAAGTTTGCAACAATCAATCCCTGCCTCGGGCTTCCCCAACTTTGACTACGTACAGTTAGGCCCCAAAAAAAAGGAGGGACAAAGAAATAACAAAAAAATTTGTCAATGTATTAACTAAATATGTGCTTTATATCATTAATTTTCCTTTTTTCTTTTAATGCTGCCCATATTTCATTCTTACCAATTATATTCAAAAGAGATCGTTAGCATTTTGACCAGCAACTCGATTACAGTCGCACATAGCAATAACATAGAGACAATAAATGATTATTGTCTATAGAAAAAAAAAAAAAAAAAAACGAATGAACATCTATTTAAATAAAAGAATTTGGTGCGGACATAGTATAATAAGTGGCCTTAAGGTAGTTAAGTAGGTAAACATTATTAGTAATGGCTATTCCTCTCAATGGGGTTCACTTCACCAACGACAAAAGAAAAGATTGAGCCCCCAAAACCTTAGACAAACCATGATACGCATGGAGGGTGCATGAGCATGAGTGCGTGCATAAACATGCAGCGCACAAAGCCAGGTGAGCGCGTGCCAATTAGGTTGGGGCCATCCCTACCACAAACTTACCATAGGAAATACAATGCTGGTGTGTAAACGTGGTATTTGCTAACAAGAATTTTGATCAAAATGACAGTAGTTCAGTTACGTATAGAAGTTGAGCAATTGAGGTGACGTATATGTTCGATCCTTTTCAATATTATTTTTAGAGGATTTAAAATCTTAATTCTGGAGTCACCTTAAACAGAATTGCCTCCCGTAATACTTGTGATTTATCCAAAAAAAAATTGTGTGATTTTGTGGTATTAATCAGTTCGAATCGAATTGGTTTGATGATGGATGAATCGGTGGAGAAATAAAAAAAAAAATTACAATTACAATTTCCAAAAAGTGGTGTATGCAAACTGGTTAAATGTTATCTTATATAATACTAAATAAGAATCATTATCATAATACTTGCCTATTGTACGCATTAACTAATTAATCGTGCATATAATTGCTCTAGTTTTGTCAATTGCTTTGCAAGTTGCAACTTATCCAAATCTCCCAAAGATTTAGGATATAATTTAATTGAAAAAAGTATAGGTAACTAGCTCATGAGCAATCAAAGTGAGTTAGCTTTATTATTACTAAAGATTATAGTAGTGGAATGGTATATAGTAAATAGATACATGAAATAAAAATGTAGTAGCTGACTCAGAACAGAACATCTTGGGAAGTGTGAAAGTGAAACCCTTAAAGCGAAGAGAGAACTTGGGAAACCCAGAATCAATTGTAGTTCCCATCTGTTCTCAGACACCAAGTAAAGAATAACAGAAATCATCAACCCCATTTTGCCCTAAAAAACTAACAACACAAAAGCTAAAGTTTCAGTCCTTGTATTGGAGACCGGAAACATATCCTCTTACATCTCTCTAATCTCTAATATCACTGCGTTCTCTTTCCTCTCCCTCCCAACTGGCTTAGGACGAATTTTGATTGTTTCAAGCACACTATATATGTGTAAGATAAATAATTCTTAATTAACTTCTTATAGTAGATAGTTACACGTCCATTTTTTTTTTCCCTTAATGAAAAACAGCAACAAAGAAAATTATGCTTTAAAAAAGAAAAAATGACAAAGAAAAGAAAAATATCATGATTAACAATTACACAACGACATCATTAAATTCTGCGAAAGGGGTGGAAAAAAAGAAGGGTTGCCATCCTCTGCCAATCTTGTATACTAATATGCATTTCCCTACCGACACATTCTTATTACTTCTCTTGAAAAAAAGAAGTTCTATTTTTTCACTTTATAGAAAATATATTATTGAGATATATCTGACAAAGTATATATTACATAAAACAATTAAGAGTAAACCAACCCATCATTTTGATTCTCAATCATTAGAAATGTCATTAATTTAGTTATCTAATCATAAATGTTTGTGAAAAAAGATAAAATTAAGAAACTAATTTGATTTCAAAAATTGACATTAAATTCATCATTGAATGACCAAACTAATAACAGTAAGATCAAAAAGATTTTTTTTTTTAACGGGCTTTTGGTAATATTTAAATTTGGCATGATTTCATCACTATCCTGGCATTTATAAGTACTCCAACCCACATGGGCAAAACTTGAAGAAAACCCAACACTGTACATGTATTTTAATCAGCAAGCGCCTGGGAGTTCAAGTTGTCAGAAATAAAACCCGAGTTTTAGAAGTTTTGAGCACCAAACTCGAAGAGAGAGAGAGAGAGAGAGAATAGAAGGACGTTATTCTGTGCTTCCAATGCATTGAAAATTGTGAAGAAGTAATTAAGTTTTCTTAGAATACTCGTTAATGTGCTGGATCGATTTGGTGGGAGATGTGTTTCCCTCTGTAGAATCAAAATCTAGGAATTCACATTTTTATTTTGTGGATGGAAGAAGACAAGGCCAATGTGAACAAAAACACACGGATTCATCAATAGAAACAAGGAAGCGAAATTTCTCAAGCATGGATTTTAGCTGGTGTTTGAGCTCCCCAATCATTTCCACTCTTGTACACTTTCTTCTTGTTGCTTCTTTGGTTTGTCCTGTTTGTTCCTCCGAAATTAGCAACACCCCAGTTGCCAATAACACTTTTCGGCCACAGGAAGAGGTGAACAAGTTGAACATCATAAGAACTCGTCTTCAGCAGATCAACAAGCCTTCTGTTAAGACAATTCAGGTGTGCCAAAGTTTCATGCTTTTCAGTTCCCCTGTTTTCTGCTCTGTTTTTTTTACCATAATACGGTGACATTTTGTTCCTTCTTCTTCTTGCAGAGTCCTGATGGTGATATAATAGACTGTGTTGTATCTCATCAACAACCAGCTTTTGATCATCCTCTATTGAAAGGACAAAGACCACTGGTAATTGTTAATTGTATCAAAATTTTACTCAGAAATTATTGTTTCAAGTTAAGCTAGAGTGAATTTTGAATAAAAAAAAATGTGGAAATAATTTTCATGCATGTGCAGGATCCTCCAGAAAGACCCAAAGGGGTTAACCAAATGGACTTATTGAGTGAGAATTTTCAGTTATGGACCTTGTCAGGGGAATCATGTCCAGAAGGTACAATTCCAATTAGAAGAACAACAGAACAAGATATGTTGAGGGCTACTTCTGTTAGCAAATTTGGGAGAAAAATAAGAAGGCGTGTTAGAAGGGACACAAACAGCAATGGACATGAGGTATGCAACTCAGAAGAATCAGTGAAAGAAACAGGACCCTTTTTTTTTTGTTCTCTTTTTCGATTTCCAAACGAAGAATAGTAAGAAATTAACAAACAACTATCGCGGAAAACAGTAAAGCAACCACATGGCAGTTAAGAGTTTCGTTTTTTCAATTTTTCATCCTATGGCTGTTTTATTACACGTTTTAATGTGCATTTGTCTTCTTATGAAACTGAGAATAGTCATGAAAGCATAAACAATAAATCTTGAGTTATGTAGCTGAATTTTATTCCTTTCTATGGTGAAACTTCAACCTTTTCCTATTTATAGTGATCACGGAATTTTATGGTTCCTCAGCTAGTTAATGTTTCACACACATCAAAATCAGTGGTTATTTCATTCTTGTGTGTGATGCAACTATCATTATCTAGTATAGAAAAAATTAACAAGACAATCAAACTTGAAATTCAAATTATCATTAGCTTGTATTGAAAAATTTAACAAAACAATCTAACTTGAAATCTAGTTTCCTCTAGGAACCTTATGTCATCTTCAAAATGTCCAATCAAACAGTTTTTTTTTTTTTTTTTTTAAAGCAAACTTAACAAATAGTTTATTTGGTGCACGCACAGCATGCAGTTGGGTATGTGAGTGGAGATCAGTATTATGGAGCAAAGGCTAGCATAAACGTGTGGGCACCCCGCGTGGCAAATCAATATGAATTCAGCCTGTCCCAAATGTGGGTCATCTCTGGTTCATTTGGAGACGATCTCAACACTATTGAAGCTGGTTGGCAGGCATGTTTCTGTGCAGCCATTACTGCATCTTAAATGATTCCTCATTCACAAAAGCATACTCTCTTTCATTTTATTCTCTTAAATGCATTCTATTTGGTTAGCATTCAAAATGCAGTTAGCATGCTTCCATCCTCAACTACCTACCACTCATGCTCATTCATGCATTTAATTTTGTATTTTAGCCAACCAAACTAATTTCAATTAATTTTTATGCAGGTCAGCCCGGAGCTTTATGGGGACAGTTACCCCAGATTCTTTACTTATTGGACGGTAAGTAAACTCATTGAAGAAAAGGGACGAGAATTATATATTATGATCTTTGCTTAAAGTGTAAGATAGCTAGTAATAATAATTTAAAAGAAGAAAATATATAATATAAACTATTATTGGTTATTATTTGCAGAGTGATGCATATCAAGCAACTGGGTGCTACAATTTACTATGCTCAGGCTTTGTTCAAACTAACAGTAGAATTGCAATTGGGGCTGCAATCTCTCCAATTTCTTCATATGCCGGTGGACAATTTGATATTAGCTTGCTCATCTGGAAGGTAATTTCCTGCTCGATAACGAAATTGACCTTATAAAATCATTGAGAATTCTATATATAAGTCTCCATCTTGTCTTTACCTTATATATAACTTCTTTTGGTGGCTATGCACAGTTTTTACTGTTGATTGAAAAAGTTAAACTTTGTCACACAGATCATATAAAACGGATTAAGGATTTATTTCTTTCCTAGTTTAGAGGTGTATACACGTTTGGTTGAACTCCAACAACTAATACGGGTAGGGTCCCACCTAAAGCATAAAAGTTAATGACCGAAGACTGATGACTACCGTTGGATTTGAATACTTTTTTCTGGTTCAGAAAAGTCTTCAAAAAATTTCTTAGTCAAAAGAGGAGCTCAAAAACAAATTAATAAATAAAATAGTTTAAAAAAGAATGGTCAATGATGGGCTCTCCACTATCTCGGAAGGCTAGCAAATGCCATCGAATTTTGTGATGTAGATTATTAGACGAAGCATAGGCAGGGTTATTTTAAGTTTTTCATAGCATGATAATAAATTTTTTATTTTATTAAATGTAAAATTTAGAGAGAGAGAGAGAGAGACATAGACCATAGTGCACATAGTTTTGTACAATGTCTCGTCTTAGTTAACATACACAACTTTACTCACTTTAATACTTTGGGACATTACACGCATGCACCTGCGAATTCGAATAATGAACTGTATTTTTGCTTCTTTTCAAGATTCTCTTCCTTTTTCCCAACAAAGAGTTTCTAATTCTGAGCTCTTCACCCTTTTTTTCCTTCATTTTACTATTATTTAAGCAAAATCTCAATATTTTGCGAATTCCCTTAAATTCACCACCTTTATTTCTCCTCTTTTTGACCCATTTCTGGCTAGCATGTTGCTCTTCATAATTATGTCTATCTTTGAGTAGTTCTGACTCGTTACAAAAAAAAAAAAAAAAAGGTGTCACTGAAGGTTTGGTTGTGTGCTTATTGTTTTGAGCAGGATCCAAAGCATGGAAACTGGTGGCTTGAATTTGGATCCGGAATCCTAGTTGGGTACTGGCCATCATTCCTGTTTACCCACTTAAGGGATCATGCAAGCATGGTACAATTTGGGGGAGAAACTGTGAATTCAAGGGAAACGGGGTCTCACACTTCAACCCAAATGGGTAGTGGACATTTTGCAGGAGAAGGTTTTGGAAAAGCTTCTTACTTTCGGAATATGCAAGTTGTGGATTGGGATAACAACTTGGTGCCCTTATCAAATCTCCGGGTTCTAGCGGATCACCCCAATTGCTATGACATTCAAGGTGGGATTAATAATGTTTGGGGGAATTACTTTTACTATGGTGGACCTGGAAGAAATGTGAGATGTCCCTAAGGGAATGATTTATATACAAGTGATTTTATTTTTTCTTTGGCATTTTTGGGTTTGGGTGATATTGGTTTTCCTTCTCAAGGGCATTCAAGGAGCTTGGGTCATTTATTCTTATATTTAAATTAAATTTCTTTGTTGATCAGGGTTTTTTTTTTTTACTAACAGGTCATCCATTGATTATACCATTACCACCTGAACTCTAATGTAAATTTTATGAGACAAATAGTAAATATACTACCGTTCTTCGTATCCTTATCTTCTTGTCTGCAATTGAGTGATTTCTCTATACCTTACTTTTTTCCCCCATTGTATAGTTGGCATACTTTATATAATGATATATGCAATGGAGGCCATAGCTTTACTGGTCCAAATAAAAATATACTCACTTAGACATATTTATTACATATAAAAATTTGATACAAAAATTTATTCTGCCATACACTATTAAGTGTGTATTTGAATTAACTTATAATTTTATACTTAAAAATAAATTTTATTAAAAAAACCTAGTTGAGAAATTTTTCTTAAAAAAATCGTAAAAAAGAACGAAATTAAAGATTCACTAAATATATTATTAGATGTGTCTTGTCAATAAAAAAAATACATGACTTTTTATCCCTTTAATTTTTGTCTATATGTGATTGGTTGGCATTAATGAAAGCTTTAATGTTGTGTACCAGTAGAGTTGTTTAAGTTATGAATTTAATTTTACACACATAGAAGTAGGTGAGACCATAAAAGAGAGAGAAAAATAAAATATGAGTCCTCACACTTTTATAAGTATGTAAGAAATAATTTTATCTCATACAACAAAAGAAACATGAAACAAAAGGTTTTTTGATGTGATTGGCAATGGTAGCACCACTCTGGAGCTACTAGCGCGGTGAAACAAAAGGTGACTTGTATATTAGCGCGTCCTGGCGCTGATGGTGCAGCTGGACAGGAGCTTGATCAATTCTTCACTTGAGTTCTTCAACTTGTCTTTTTTCAAAAGGGCTAAAACTCCTACAAAAATACAAGAATTTCATGAAAGTACTAATTGAGAGTGAATTGATAGTTTAATCACAATTTTCATGTCTTTTTATCACATTTAGATTGAATTTATTCTCATTTTGACCTTTAAATTATATTAAGTTGAACACACATTAGTAACAAGTTTAAATCTTAACTGTGTCAATTAAGTTAAACTACAAAAAAATAAGCATGCAGGAAATTCTTAATTCTGAGATAAACTGTCTTTTTCTTTGATTCAACTAGAGAAATGGATTAGTTAAATTGTGTACAAGCTAACCGTAATGCTCTAAATGGTCTAATTAACCGCAATATACAATAAGGTTTGTGATGCTCTTAACTTGAAATTGCTCTTAACCAAAAAGTGGGTGAGATCCTTTAAGGAAAAGAGAGAAAAAAAAAAGAGTGAATTACACCCATTTTATGTATGTGTATGAGACAAAATTGTATAATGTAACATGAGAGACATATTTTCTTTTTACAAAATCTAACTTATACATAATATAGCAAATCTCTCTCTCTCTCTTTGTGAGAGTGATAGGATTCTTTGACATCGGTATCAAACTAAAAAGTTTGACACCAAATCTTAATCGTTGATTTTCTTAAATGTAACGATTATTATTTATTGGCAAGTAATAATTAATAAATAAATATGGCCCAATAAATTAGAATCGTTAAATTCACGAAATCAACCATTAAAATTTAGTGTCAAATTTTTTAGTTTGACATTCGTGTCAAAGGATCATGGATATATATATATAATACCAGTGGGTTCCGAAAGTGTGAGGAGGGAAATGAAGTAAACTAGAGCAGAAATGGAAAGCAGGAAAGTAGACGGACTGCTACATGATTATTAACAGTCAATTAAAATGCAGAATTTAAAGGCATAAATAAATTTAAGGTGAGAACCCAAGCTGTATACGGTAGGCCGAAGTCAAACTAGGGTGGAAGGATTGAGAAGAGAAGAGTTCATTACATCAGCAGATATGAAATAAAACTTTATTCAAAACATAAAGATTGAGATTACAGTTACAGATTCAAAGCTTAAAGAGAAAACTCAAAGTACCTCGCAGTCTCTCTCTACACTATCTCTCTAAAACTCGGTAAATGAAAGGATGCCTTCAACATACTGAAGCAACCCTTTAAATAGATTGAAAAATCACTATTGCTACAGTACAAGTTACATGACTGGTACTATTTCAACAGTGTAGGTTAAGTGAACAGTAACTGACTCGTGTTGCTACAGTTTCTGCCGACACTTTGATTACGTCACTGTATGCGTCACCTTCTGCTGACATCATGTTCATGTCATTTTTCCATCAGCGTCACTATAGTGGTTTTCTTCAACAGTCTTCTGCTAAGTTGATTCCAAAACAATCATACTCATTTTGGTAGAAGTCTTCTGCTGAAGAAGAGATAGATGGAGATGAAGAACCTGTCTTCTGTTTAGAGCTTTCAGTTTCATCCTCTTGGAGTAATTGAAGAATACCTTGCAGATTCTTTGCAAAATTTTCTTTGTTGGTTGATGCTGCTAATGCTGCCGTGATTTGAGCCTTTTGATTCAAGAAAAGGGAGGTTTCTGGATCAGCTGGCTAGATGTTTTTTTGGATGTTTTTTAAACCAGAGCTTGGCATTTTCTGGGTAAGCTCTTGAAGCATCAAATTCTATCCACCATTTAACAAAAGCTTGTCTCTTTAGTAATGGTAGTCTGATGCATGTTTTCTCGCCGTAATTGTACTGCCATGAAAATATCCATGCCAGAGAGAATTTTAAGAAAAAATGCAGATCTATTGGAAAGGGATCTGCTAGATTTTCATTTCTTCAAAGACTTGTGGAGGAAGGATATCAAGGATTGGTCCAAAATAATCCCACCATTTATTAAACCATTGTGGAAAATTATATTGGATATTTTGCTTAAAGTAAATTAACCATGAATGTTTGTTTTCTTTATTTTGCATAAAGAAGACATTGGTCCAGGCTAATTCATAGTCCCAATAATTATATCCAATTGGATCATAAGGCTGGGAAAATTCGGTTATTTTATTTGGATTTCCATATTCTGCTGGGGTGATTACCTTGAGAATCTGGATGGTTGAATGAGTAATAAACTCAGGGTCTTTTGGACTCTTATAGTGTTTGATGGAAATAGAGTTTGAATCAAGTAAAATAAACTCATAAAAATTTTGGGATTTAGTTGGAGAATGTGGTTTGAAATGAAATTGACGTCATTTGAAGTCTTTGGGGAAAATCTTCACAGGAACCTTGGTTGGTTTATTATCCCAGTAGGATGGTTCCATTTGGATTACGTCTAGAAACTTGTTCTTTGAGACGTACGGTGTTTGAGGTTTTGGTTTCTGGGTAGAAATAGGTTTGGGTTGGATTTCTAGGGCCCTGTTTGGACGGTTAGAAATCTGCTTGCTTTAAGGTTATCAATCAAAACAGAAATACTTTCTTCCTGTTCATCTTCTGAAGCTATTTCAGCCCAGGTTTTCTTTGGTAGATGGGTCAAACCTTGGTCTTCGAAGGCTTGGAGTGTTTGGATTGGCATTGCATAGTCTGCCTTGGATTGTTTAGAAGAGGAAGTATCCTCAACTCTTTTGGTAGATGACCCAGTTTGGGGTTGGGTAGATGACCCAGATTGTTGTTGGGCTGGAGACCCAGTTTTTTTCTAATTTTTTAGCTAACCCAGTCAGGATTAGCTTTCCTTTCCTCTCTTTAGAAGAGGTTGATTTTACTGATTTCGGCATGTCAAGACACTGTTTATCTTCCCTACAGAAATTCACGAGTGAGATAATCAGGGAGAGAGTTTGAGGTGCCTTTGAGATATTCAATTTCAAAATCAAAAACATTTAAGATTGCTGGCCATCTAGCAAAAATTTGTTTAGATGCTAGATTCTTTACATCATTTTGTAAAATGTCTTTTACAGATTTGCAATTAACACGGATTAAAAACTTTTGATTTAATAAATCAAATTAAAATTTTGAAATACATAAAACAATTGCTAAAACTTCTTTTTTGACAGTGGAATACTTTTGCTGTGCTGAATTCCAATGCTTTGAAGTGTATGCAATGATATGCTCTTTGTCTGAGACTCTCTGTTTAAGAATGCCACCATAACTTATGTCTGAGGCATCAGTTTCAACAATTTTGAAAGCCTGAGGATTGGGAAGATAAAGACAAGGAAGTTCCTTTACTTTAGCTTTGACCTGTTTGACTACGTCAGTATGAACATCAGTCCAGGGAGGAGGGTCTTTCTTAAGACGATTATGGAGAGGCTTGATCAGATTATTAAGCTGGGGAAAGAAGTCAGCTATATAATTTAAACAACCAAGAAATCTTTGTAGTTGAGTTTTATCAATGATTTGATTGGGAAATTTGTCAGCAAATTCAATAGCCCTACAAATTGGAGTAATAGTCCCTTGATAAATAGTATGACCGAGGAACATGATTTTTGTTTGAAAAAGATTGATTTTTGATTTAGAAAGAGCTAAACCACTTTTCTTAATTACATCTACAAAAATATGAAGATGTTTGAAATGTTGATCAATAGATTGGGAAAAGACAAGAACATCATCAATATAGACGATGGTGAAAGTTGAGTATGGATTGAAGATATCATTCATGATTCTCTGAAATTCAGAGGGAGCATTCTTCAGTCCAAAAGGCATTACCTTCCATTCGTATTGACCAAACGGAACAGTAAAAGTTGTCTTGTGACATTCATTGTCATTGAGCTAGATTTGCCAAAACCCAGATTTCATGTCAAATTTAGAAAAGATTTTTGCTGAATACAAATAATTGAGAAGATCTTTCTTATTTGGAATCGGATATCGAATCCATTGAAGTGCTTGATTAAGAGGTTTGTAATTGGTAACTTACCGTGGAGTTCCACGCTCGATTTCAGATTGCTTGTTGACATAGAAGGCAGAACAAGACCAAGGACTCTTGCTCTTCCTGATGAGACCTTTAGCAAGGAGATCAGCAATCTCTTTTTGACAAAAGGCAAGAAGTTCACCACTCATTTGAATTGGACGAGCTTTGGTTGGGATTTGCCTTTCATTAAAATCCTTTTCATAGGGAAGATCTACGATATGTTTTTTCCTTTGCCAAAAAGCATTTGGAAGATCAGAACAGATTGTATTCTGGATTTGTTCAAGCAAAACTTTGATTTTTTGTTGAACTTCAGGCTGCTTTAATTGATTTTCAATATTCTTAAAATAAATTTCTTCTTTAAGGAAATTGATTTGCTTTTGTTTGTAATGGATAAAATTCAAATCTCTTATGATGGGTTTCATAAGAAATTTAAAAAGAATTGGTTTGTCCAAATGATAAGTAATTATACCTTCATCTGTGATAGTTAGAGGAAAGAGAGATTTGTTGAACGGAGTTCCAAGAATAACTTTATTTTTGAGATTTTTAACAAGGAGAAATGGTGTTTCAACTTTTAAATTATCATTTTCAATGATTGCTTTAGGAGGTTTATAATTAACTTGAAGTTTTGAACCACTAGCAGTACTAAGCCGTTCATAAGTCTTTTCAAAATATTTAGTAGGAATTAGACCTTCTTGAATGCAGTTTGAATCTGCCCCTGTGACAAACAGAGTTTCAATTTCAAGGTCAAAGTTACCTACATTGAGTTTGATTGGGATGTAGAATTTTTGAATTGTTAATTGATTAATTAATCCGAAAAATTCTTCATCTTTAAGATTTTTATCCTCATCTGGTTTAGACAGAGTATTTTCCATACTCGTTCCTGTTGATTCTTCATTTTGTAATTGAAGAAGGATATTCTTATGAGTTTATTGTTGCTCTTTGATTTGTTTAACTTCAGTTTTGAGAATATTGATCTCATACTGAAGATCTTGGACAGTTATAGGTTTGACAGTAATACTCTTTTCTAGTTTTTTAAGAGTATCTTTAAGATTAAACTTATTAGGAACCAACAACTCTTTAGATTTAGAAGAACTGATTTCCAAGGATGATTTTAACTTTGCTAAGTAAGCTCTTTTTTCTTGGGGATCACTGACTGAATCTATGACTTCGAACAAAAGATCTTGTTCTTTAGTCATGACATTAATTTCTTGCGAGGACTGTGAATCCTCACTAGAAGATAAATCATCTTCTTGGATTTGATTTAAGTCTTCAGAAGATTCTTTTCTAGATTCTTCATCAGAGGATTGGATTAGAAGATTATTGATTTGTTCTTCAATAGATGGATCTAAGTTTAGGTTATTTAGTTTCTTCTTAAGCCTACAATATTTACTAGTAAGACCAGGTTTACCACAGCTATAACAAATAGTTGGCTTAATTGGTTTGGATGTATTTTGTGATCTATTTGTTTCAGTATTTGGCTTAGGATTTTCATTTTTAAACCTTTTATTGTAATTCGGTTTCTTACAAAAATTCCTTAAAGTTTTAACCTGGTTTTTATGTTTTTTCGGTTTTGTAGTACAAGGTAGACCAAATTGTTCACAAAATGATCCTAGATCTTTATGATTTTAAGTCTTTTCTTTTGCAAGTTGACGTTGGATTTTATCATCTTGACAGATTTTTAAAGCTACCTTTTGGATATAAGCAACTAATTGTCCATAACTTAATTGTTCATAAGGGATATCTCCAGTTGGAGATTGATGACGGATTTTATCCCTAACTTTGTCTCCTAAAGATTTTGGAAGACCAGCTAAGAATTTTTCTTTCCAGAAAAGTTGTTGACTATCATCTCGAGTGTAAACCCTAATAAGGAAGGTATCTTTATACCAACGAAGTCAGCCAAGGTTCTACATTTAAGATTGGATAGAAGTTCAGCAGAACGATCTTTCCATAAAGATGGATCACCAATAAAATGTTGGATAATGGTGAAGATTAATTGATTAACTGCATCCGGAATGGTTTTACCATCAGAGATTATTGGAATGCCATCAAGATCAATTTTAACAGCATCAAGAACAGAATTTTTTTCATCTTCAAAAAGATATTGTCCCACCCACCAACTTTTGAGTTGACCAGAAAAGCCAGAGACAATAATATTGACAGGTTGCTTGAGATAACTTTATATATATATATATATAGATCTATCCATATTATATATATATATATATATATATTAATATATATATATATATATATATATATATATATATATATGACTTATCGTTTTTCAAGTTGCTTGAGATAACTTTATCTCCGGCTACTAAATCATAATCATACAAAGATGGATCAATGGTGATAAAAGGAAGCTACTAAATCATAATTGTACAAAGATGGTTCAATTAATATAAGTAAATAAATAAACAAAATAACGTAGTTTTTGGGTGAACAGATATAAAAATATCTCAAGTTGCTTGAGAAATATTTTTCACACACACACATATATATATAATAAGATCTTCTTACACCGATATAATAATAATAAATCTTACACTCAATCTTAACTGTTGATTTTTTATATCTGACGGTTATAATTTATTGGAAATTAATAATTAATTAATTACAGTCATTTGATGGACGAAAATCAACGATTAAGATTGAGTGTACGATTTATTATTCTTACACAAATGTAAATTGATCTTGACCTTATATATATATCTATATATTTTAGGGAGGTTATACTTACAATATCTTTTTCCTTATAATCATTTTTATGGTTGTTGGATTAAAATTAAATCAATAACTCTCATTTAATATCATTTTGTACTTATTTATATGATTTTGATCCAATAACTATAAATGATGGTTGTAAAAGGTTATAAGTATAATTTATGGGTTTGTGTTTTGTAAAGTTACTTTAGATAACTTTATCTAATGTTCACCGAAACGACGTCGTTTTGGGACGAAATTCATGGTGTTTTTGTAATTTTAATTTATTTCAGGGTTATAATAGTCTTTATCATTCTAATTTTTTAATTTTTCAACCACAAAACGATGTCGTTTTGATGAACATTAGACAAAGTTATCTAAAGTAACATTAGATACTTTTTTTCCATAATTTATATTTGGTAAAATCATTTCTGTAGCCGCTTTACGTAAAACAACGACGTGTGTATGGTTATGATTCTCCAGATTTAATGTTTTCATCCTTTGTACGGTTATGATTTTTCGCATTTAATGTTTTCAAGTATATATATGGCAAGTATTTGATTGCTACACGTACAGCAGCTGCAGAAATGTATATCATAATATATATATATATATATATATATATATATAGTGTGTGTGAATTCAAATTAAAATGAAAGATTAGTCTACTAAAAAAGCAAAAGATTAAACTCCTATTTACCTACTTTAAAGGTTATAACGCACTTTGATTGTTAAAAGATTTTTAGCATACATTTAGAAATTTAGTCATGTAAGAATATAAGGTATGTATCATTGTTTTAGTTTTTTTGTTTTCCCATTAATTTAGCTATTTAATATTATATAATGTTATTAATTTATTTTTTTAATTATATAAATTATAAAATATTAACAACTAAGTTTATAAATTAATATTATCTTATGAATATATTTCTTAGTGCGAAAAGAAAGATAATTTAATAATAATTTAAATAATCAATGAATTAAATTAATAATAATTTTTTTTTCAAATATTAAGTAATGATGTTTTAATCTCTGAAGGATAAAATTATTAGCATATTTTATTTTCGGAGAGGATGGGAGTTCCTATTCTTTTCCTGTAAAATTTATGTGCAGAATCAAATGTTTCACTTCTTTTTAACTTGATAGAAACTTCGTGGATGTTATTAATCACTGTTGGGAAACACGTAATTCGTAGTCTTCGTATATAAAAAAGGGGTTTTCATTTTATCCTTTAACATAACACAACAAACTTTCCTACACTCACAACATTTTGTGAGGTCCACATTTTTTAAAACAAAAAAATAAATAAAAAATTAAGGCACGCAAAATGAATCTCTATAACATTACACAATCATTTTTCCTACAACATAACTCTTATAAAACTCATAAAAAAGAAGAAAGTCTGATTACCAAAAAAAGAAGAAGAAAGTCTTCATTGGGTTCTTCTGTGCTCATTGTACGTACTCCCACATTCAAAGTTTCGAAATATAGTCGGCAGATCTTAGATCATACAAATATCTAAATATAAAGCTATATAGTGATTGCATTTTGATAGCATATTAATTTAATAGCATGTTGACTTATTTGAATATATTGATTGCTTGATTTTGCATCAGCGGTAAACAAAATTATCTGTCATAAACATAATAAATTGGGACTCACTCGTTTTAAAAAAAAAATTTACCAAGATGATAGATATAAATATTTTTGTATTTGTGGCAGACAAAAGTATTTTTACTACAACTGCAGAAATACTTTTACCTAAATATATAGAGGAAAGATTCGTTTACAATTTCTTTTTACAAATTATATTAAATATGATCGGTCATACATTTTTTATTAAAATATGACCGGTCAGATATAATGTAGTTGGTAAGAGTTTGTAAACAAAAAATTTGTAAATATAACTTTTCCCAAATATGTACGGCATATGTGTGGCAATTTCTTATAGGGATTGAACGTCCTCTACTCTTAGAAGTTTCATATTTATATACTAGAGAACAAAGGATTTCTAAGTTCAAAACCCATTATTATAACAGATGAGAAATAGGGTTCACAATAACTAAAGATTCAAAGAGTATTGTTGGAAACCAAAGGATAACATTGCACTTAACCAGAAAGCGAAGCCAAAATTTGATGAACAATAGTTGGCCATTTTAATATGGAGTGAGGATATTCTAATTACCAAAAATTCTCACTACTAACTTACTACCTATTACATCACCATTGGATCAAAGAGAGAGAATGTTAAAAAGTTTTTGAAGAGAGAGAAAATATTAATATAATGGTGATTAGATAGGTAGTAAGTTAGTAGTAGAAAGTTTGGGTAGTTAGAATATCCTTCCTCTTTAATATGTATGCATTTAAATATATCCTCGTAGAACTAGCCACATAGGGTACTACTCCCACGTGAATTTGTCCAAGTTATTATGTTTGTCTGCATAATTATCGGCTATCTTTTTCTTAAAGCATACGTTACTACTTAATTAGCTGTTATTATTCGTGCATTTAACCTCATCAATAGGTGGAAAAGAGCATTAGTTATATAATTGTATGCTTGCACACAACTGAATTTTAATAAAATTGACTCTTCTAAGGCTCTAGCTACACGCCCCATACAAAATAGTGAAAATACTACACTAACATCAACATTTTCTTTTTCATGAAGTAGGCCAGTTACATGAACGAAAAAATTAATGTCATTATATTTAGTTAAAAGTCAACTCTTCAAATAAATGACTTAGATTTAATTAATTTTCAATAGTTTGACTTTTGAGTTTTAATTAAGTCTTTTTCTACCTCTAACTTCTATATTATCCTTAATCAAATTTTATTAGTATTGCCGCATTTATTGATTCTCTTCTCACATGGCTAAACTATCTCAGATATAGATAGTTGTATAATATTCTCCTCAATATATCTTATCATTACTTTTTCTATAATACATTCAATTTGAGCTTAAACGGTAACTTTCGATTACAATTATAATAAGTGAAGTATTCCTGAATATCATTACCTTGAATTTCATGATTTACATTTTTCTTGATCCCTCCTTTATTCTGTATGATAGATCTAAGATACTTAAATTGTTTGTTACCAGACAAAAATATAATAAAATAGGAGAGACAGAGAAACACGATTTCCCATTAACTAAACTATGTGTATAATA